ACGGCATCAGCTCAAAACTTCTTAAATTAACTAGTCACGTATCATCGTTTTTATTGTCCTTAATTTTTCAGCAATCGCTTGATTCAGGGTGCGTCCCTGACGATTGGAAATCTGGTCACGTTATACCCATTTATAAATCTGGTGATCCCTCAAGTCCAAAAAACTACCGCCCGATTTCACTCACATCAGTTTGGTGTAAACTCCTCGAACATATAATTTACTCCCACATAATGAGACATCTTAATACTAATAAAGTGTTATTCGAAAATCAACATGGGTTCAGGTACAGGCGGTCTTGCCAGACACAGTTATTTGAATTATCTACGGATTTACATGACTCTTTGCACAAATCGGTTTACACAGATGCTGTATTTATCGACTTTTCTAAAGCCTTCGACCGTGTTCCCCACATACGGCTCATCCAAAAAATAAACTGCCTAAAGTTAGACATAAAAACTACCGGCTGGATTCAGGAATTTCTATCTGGTCACTCTCAAAAAGTAAATATAAATAATAATCTCTCCAGTTCCTGTGTCGTTGGGTCAGGAGTACCTCAGGGATCAGTTTTAGGGCCTTTATTATTCCTGATATATATTAATGACATCGCGAACAATATAACTTCAACAATTCGACTGTTTGCCGATGACTGTATAATTTATAGACAGATCACATGCACTGATGACGTAGCTATTTTGCAAAGCGATCTAAACACCCTGGCTAAATGGTGCCACACGTGGAAAATAGAAATTAGTACAGATAAAACAAAGGTCATGTCATTTTCTTCGAATCCAAATACTCCATTAAATCGATACATGTTATGCAGTTTGGATATTAAACGAACCTTTTCTTTCAAGTATCTTGGCCTGATATTTACTCCTGATTTAAACTGGGCCATGCATATTGAACACGTAACAAACAAGGAACTAAAAAAACTTGGCTTTCTTAAGCGCCGTTTATATCTCGCAAACCACGAAACTAGACTTCGCGCTTACACTTCCCTCATCCGTGCAACCCTCGATTATGCTTCAATTATTTGGAACCCTCACACAGCTATACTGTCCGACTGTATTGAATCTATTCAAAACAAGGCTGCCCGCTTCATTTTGCACTCGTACTCGCCATACCAAAGTGTCTCAGCATTAAAACAGATTCTTAATCTTCCAGAACTTAACACTCGTCGTAAATTCTTCCGCTTGACCTTTTTTCACTCTCTGTATCATGGTATTACACCTTTTTCATGCGCTCATATTTTTCCGGCCCATTATGTGTCCAATCGCACTGACCATGCTCGTAAAGTGTCGTCCATATTTGCAAGGACCAAAAAGTACCGAAATTCCCCTTTTGTGTTATCTGTAACCGAGTGGAACGAGCTTTCCAGCGAGATTGCGATGATAAATGATCCGTCTGCATTCCAATCAGTGCTGCGTACATTTCTTGATGTGTAATATGTCTACTGCTACTATATCTTACTCTGTTGTTATATCTCGTGTACCAGCGAAACGATGAAGAACTAGTGCCATGCAGATTCTGGAATTGAAATGTACTGGAGATGTGAAATGAGCCTTGTGTTACATCCATGTCGTAAAAATGTACCCTTTACTTAGTTATGTCTGATCGCTGTGTGCGTTCCTTTTATATGAATTGATGTATACCTTGTTTTTAACAGTATCCCCCCCTATGTAATGCCTCTCGAGGCCTTTAGGGTATTTAAATAAAAAAAAAATAAAAAAAAGTCCATGACTCCATAACTGATTAATCAAGATAGAATACTCTACACTATCGTATGCTTAACATATTTCTAACGTTACTAAAGCCGCAAACTGCTTTTTGTGATGGGCAATATGAATACGACTTTTCAGATCTACATGTGCATGCCATATGTAATATCCAGATCTAAAGCCAATTTGGGAAGAACTCAACGGTTGTTTCTCGTTAATAAACCTAATTATACGACCATGAAGTACCCTGTCAATAAGTTTTACTCATTAGATGTTAAGGCTATCGGTCGTATGTTGTCTAAATTATAGCCTGCCCCCTGTTTCTTAAACAATGGTATAATTTTCGCAACTTTCTATTCAGAGGGGATCCATGCTCTTCTAAGGGAATAATTGATGAGACCTAACAGATCATTTGGATATTCCCTGTGTAGTATTTTTAGCATTGTATTTGTTATTCCATCGGGGCCTGGTGCTGTATTTGGCAATCTTTCCATAGCCTGATTTAATTCGGAAGACAATATTTCTGTGTAGTCATAGATGGTTGTTATGTAAGCCGAATTAGGAAGATGCATTGAGAACCTGTTTTCTAATTGTTTAGCCAATTGATTCAATGATTCCTGTAGTTCCTGTGAGATGTGAAATACTGAGTCAACGTTTCCTGGTATAGGGGTCTTCTTCCTACCACGAAGGAAATTGAATAAAGCACGTTTGTTATTTGATTTAGACAGGTACTCGAAATGTTCTTGGTCATATTGCTCTTTCGCTCGCGATACATTGCGTTTAAATGTTGCCGCAATGAACTGATAATCCTTCCAATTTTTTAGACTCTGATTACATATAAGTCTTTTCCATGCAGCTTTTCTTCTTCTATAGTCTCGTGTGCACTTTTCGATGACGACGAAGCAATTACAAATTCTGAAGTGTTCTTGGAGATTTTTAAAATGGAACAGACATTTCTGCTGAGGTCTTCATTTTGACCACTGGACACTGCCCTAATATTGGAACGCAAGCAGTCTTTAATTTTTTTGTTATTGATCAATGTTTTCTCTGTCCTTTCAATAAATTTCACAGCACATGAGATTTCAAAGTATACAGGAAGATGGTCACTGTTTGAAGAGAAATCAATTGTTTTCCAAGACTTTATTGAAACACTTGGGCTGCAAAACGTGAGATCTAATACCGATCGTGTCCGTCCGCGAATAAATGTAGGCTGTCTATTATTTAGGCAGGTAAGGTTTTTATTAATCATCCAATCCCACAGGAGAGTACCAAAAGAGTGTGTTCGAAATCCCCACAAAATATGATGCGAGTTGAAATCACCAGTCAGAAAGAAATCATTCTTGCAATTAGCTAAGGCAGTATCTAATTGTTGAGTATTATGCAAACCCGTTGGAAAATATGCGTTTATAAGTGAAAAAGGGCGGTGCCCTGGCAGACAAAGGTCTATTGCCAAAATTTCACAGTCTGTGGACATAAGCTGAAAAGCTATGCTCGCTGTGCGGCAAAATTTATTCGAGACTAGTATAATTAGACCACCTCCTAGTGATGGACGGTCTAACCGAAATGCTCTAAAATTGTTTAAATGATAATTCTTAACAAGGTTAAGCCAGGTTTCTTGTAATAAGATTATATCCAGATATAACTGATTAATTAAGCAAAGTAAGTCAGTAGAAGCAGAAATCAAAGACCTACAATTCCACTGTACTACTTTCAAGGTATCTATGTTGACGAGCGAAACACTTCAGCAACGGCAGCTTCTAAAATACTCTTCTTAATAAGTGCACTGGCATTTTCGCTGCCCTTTTTAGGTTTTGTGTTTGGGCAAGGAGATTTTACAGGAGATCCAGTGCGCTTCTGATGCCTGAAATCTTGGCATACGTCCATTTCATTCTGATCCTCCGCGTGGGTCGATGTAGAAGGTACGGACAAAATTGGGGTTTTCTTCTCTCGGGATTGCCGCTGTGGGGCTGAATTCGGTATCTCTTCCACTACACAACGTGCCGACTTGGCTATCGGTACTGCTACTGCAGAAGCCAGGTGTGTCATCTGTGAGCAAAACACTTGAGAGATGCGCTCACTTATGCTCGCAACTATGTGTTCCAGTGCTTTCGACATCGCCTTTTCTACTGCAGCCTCAATAAGATTCAGAATCTTCGTCTCACTTAGTTGTTCGTACCTCGACGCGACTCCGGCATATCCAAACTCCCTATCCTTCACAACTGTTATTGCTTCTCGCCGCGAGCAACGACGTCTGTCCATGATTTCTAGGAGTTGCGTTTCATTGGACCTTGCGGTGCAGTTCAGGTAATCGGCCGCGTGATTTCCTTCACAGAGGCAGCACTTTACGGTTTCAGCGTTGCACTCCTTGGATGGATCGGAATTGCCACAGATGCGGCAACGTGAATTTGATTTACAGCCCCCTGCACTATGGCCAAAATGCCAACATTTTTGACATTGGAGAAGACGAGAAGTGAGACGTTCGACTCTGAAAATGAGCGGCCATATTTTCAACTCGGATCGACAGGAAGTGCCGGCAAAGGTAGCAATAACCGACTCAGTGGGGACTTTCTCACCGTTAACTAATCGGTTGCATCGGTACACAGCTATGACCCCAGTATCAAACAGCTTTTCCAGAGTCTCAGCGGGCGTTAATCTAGAGTCGACTCCTCGTACAATTCCCTTAGTGCACGTCAAATGAGGCGGGATAAATGCACTCACCGGGACCGAAGCAAATGTCTTGCATTTTAGGATGTCAGAAACGCACGAAGAATCTGACGATCTGCATACCAAACCGCCTCTTCCGAACTGACGAATATCACTTATCAGCTGGAGGTGCAGCATCATGGCCTGCAACTCCACCTGGGTCGCCTTCAGGTTGTTGAGCCTAATAAATCCACCACTCGAGGGCACCAGCACAACAGGGATGCTGCCAACACCACTGCGGAAAAAATATTCCAATGGCAATTCATCATTAGGCAAGGAGGCTGACCAAGGGCTGTGCCCTTGGCCAGGAGACAAATTAGACATTAGCACTAATTCGATTGCTTAAAAAAGTAATATGCAACGTCCGCTAGTTTCAACAGCTCAAATTCACTCAAGGCTCAGCCAAACCATGGTCCCTCAATACTTTTACTGGTCATGAAACTCCCGCGTAACTCAATGGGAGAGCTTCATATACCGCCTGCACTTTCCGCGCCGCGGCGCTGGCGTAGCTACAAGGGGGATGAGGAAGCCGCCTGCTGCTGGCCGTCATTAGCCGAGTGTGAGCGCGGAGTGGTGTTGTTTGTGCTGCTTGCACCTTTTTTTTTTTCTTTTTTCGCGGTCACCTCGTCGTGACCGCGATGCCCAACACCTGCTGTGTGCCGGGTTGTCGCTCGGGATACAAGGGCAACGTTGAAAAAGTCTCCCTGTTCTGTTTACCAGCCGACGCAGAACAACGCGACAGGTGGAAACGTGCAATCCCGCGACAGGAGACTGTCGGATTTTTGTTCGACTCGAAGTATGTTCGCGTGTGCGAAAAACATTTTGATGCAAGTGACATCGTACGTGCGGACGTGTGTACAGTGAATAGGAACATCGTTTCACTGCCTCGAGATCGGCCAAGACTGGTGGAAGGCGCCGCACCAAGAATTTTCGAAGGTTTGCCTGCTTACCTCTCCAAACCAAGACAGCGTTCGCGTGGACTAACAAAGCGCCCACCTGTAAAAAGGCCGCGAGAGCCTTCTCCAGACTGTGATGCGACAGTTGCGAATGTGGACGTCTCCATTGTAGCCGACGAAGAAATCGACGGTAAGTCTGGCACAAAGCTTGCAAGTATCCTAACCGCTCACTACGCTAACAAATTTCGCTCGCTATACGCTAACAAAATTGGCTCCTTCCCTAATGAAATTTGCTCTTAGTCAGTCTTTGCAGATGTTGTAAGAACTGAGAATCGCCCAGGCTTCGCTGATGCAGAGTGTCAAAGAGAGGTCCCAGTTTATTCAGTATCGGAGCTGCAAAGAGTGAAGGCGCAACTTCGCAGCGTGAAGCAACAGCTTCAATCATGCCAGCGGAAACTCGCAAAAGCGGAGGCGCATGCGAATAAAAAAGGTGGAATGTACGGGGATATTCACAAGCTGTCAAACCGCGAGAAGCTCATTATAGACCAGTGCATCATGAAGGCAAATATGAAGTCTACGAAAGCAGCACGGTAAGATCTCGTTTGTGAAGTGTGTTTGGAGTTTTATGTGAAGTGCGGTTTTCGGAGTGTGCACGTTTTCTTTCTGGATAATGATAGAAACTGAAAAGTGATGCTGTGGACCAAAATGCAATATTTTGTTTTACTTTGATAGTGCCGTTTGCTGGTGCTGTCGCTGAATCGTGAACACAAAAATCTGCATTTTATTTATTGCAGGTTTAAAAAAGAATGGCTTTACGACTGTTTACTGCTGAAAATCAAATCGACAGCAGTTTATACATTTCTTCACGAGAATAATTTTCTGCCTCTGCCACACCCTCGCACACTCTACTCCTACTTAAAAAATCTGAAGGCCGGCTTTGGATTTGATGAAAATTTATTTGCCATCCTCAAAGATAAAGTGGGAAATATTTCAGAGAGAGAACGCCGAGGTGTCAATTTTTATTTTTTTTGCATTTGATTTTTCTGGACTTTAGGTAAACAGCTGAAAAAATATTTTTTTTTCTTGGGGGTCCTGATGTTTGACGAGATGAGCGTGAGAAGGAGCCTTCATGTAATGGAATCGGATATGACACTGCTTTGAAAGGTCGACTTAGCAGAGCACACGAAGCCTACTGACCAAGTGAAAGATGGTGACCATGTGTTACTGTTCCTTTTCCGACCATTCCTCGGTGGCTGGTCGCAGGCTGTCGGAGCGTTTTGCACGTCAGTGGCTGCACCAGGCTCCGCTATTGCTAAACTGCTCCTGCATTGCATTGTACTCCTGTCGAATGCCGGTGTCATTGTGGATGCAGTCACTTGCGATAACTCTACTTCGAACCGATCAGCATTGAACTCTTTGGGTAAATATTTATAGACATTATTTATCCTCATGGTATCTAGTACGTTATCTTAATAATAGAAATGTCTTCCTTTTAGGCGTCAGCGGCGATATCGCCAGAGTATCAACGTCATTTGAGCATCCATGTGACTCCTCCGAAGTCATTCAGGTCATAATTGACCCACCTCACATCTTCAAGTGCATCAGGAATAACCTTCGGAAGGCTGGAAAATTCCTTGTGGGTAAAACACAGTTTAAGATAAGTCATCACAGTGCTCTGGCTGTTTTGTCTCACAGGCTTTTTCTTAATGTAACAGTTGCCTGGTGACAAAGAAGTGCAGCATTTCTACTTTGAAGCTCTGCTAGACTACGAGGAGCAGCAAGCTGGACGCGGGCTGTGCCAAAGCTTACGAAAGCACACATCAGGCCCAACGCTCTCCAAAAACTGAGTGTGAAACTTGCTGTCCAGGCAAGTCTGCTCTAGCATGTGTCATTAATTATTAGTATGTATCAAAAAGTGCTGTTCCTTCATGAAAATACAGCACTCTGCCATATAATTTCTCTAAAATCTTTCAGCTCTTTAGTGAAAGCACCGCTTCAGCAATGGACTTCTATCGCAGTAGAGAAGAATGTGTGAAACTTCGTGGCTCCAAAGCAACCTCGGATTTTGCGAGATGAACGAATATTCTATTCGACTGCTTAGATTCCAAGAGGCCACAAGATGTGCAGTATAATGAAGCAGAACACATTGCTGTAAGCCCTAATATTTCAAAGCTATGGTCGCTTTCTTTGAAGTTCCAATTAAATCAGATTGTTTTTCAGACACTGAAGGAGAACATCGAGTGGCTTGACAGGTGGCACATTTACAACCAGAGTTTATCAAAGCAAAAGCAACTCTTCTTTCTGAGCAAGCCAACATGCAATGCTCTGAGAATGACTTTGCACAGCACAGCGACGCTTGTCGAAAAGCTGCTGAAACGTGGCTTTCGCTATGTTTTAGTTGGAAACTTTGGACAAGACCACCTCGAGGTAAATTTAAATGTTTTCGCTAGTTGAAGACATTTTCTTTGCACTTTTCTCTCTTTCAGAGGTTTTTTGGCATACCAAGGCATGGGACAGCCAACGGTTCAGCAATTTTTGTTCATTTACCGGTTGCTCTCGATGAACAACTTGATCCGTCTGCCACAGCGAGCCTCAGTTGAAGGGGATGGTCCACGTCTCCTTTTAAAAATGTAGGATCTCTTTCAACATAAAGAACCTACTGTTAATCAGGTAAACATTTTAATAGCACACCAACGCTGCTCGTAGGGTGTCTCTCCATCGTATGGAAATGTGCTGAATGTTGTCTAGCCCTTTGATGCTAATGACATGCACGTCTGGTCGTATGATATACAACGAGCTTCTATTCTGCTTTTTCACTTTTCAAATTTCTCACTCTTGTCATTGTGGTATGAAAAAATATTTACGTTTCAGATTGATACCTTGGCAGTTCTTTTTGATGATATACTGCTGGAGCCTGCTGAATGCATGCAAGATATGATTCATCCGGAGTCAACGAGGGACTGCATTTTGGATTACCTTGGTGGCTATATTGCAAAGAAGTTTGCTAGAATAAGCTGCAAGGACTGCCTCCAAACACTTAGAAGCAACTCCCGAGAGCCAACTGCATTGACTGCAATTAAGACGAGAGGATTTTTGCAAGTGCCATCGGAGCAACTATTGCGTCTCTTGCAAATTGTGGAGGAACATGTTGAAATGCGCACCATAGGCAATATAGCCTGTGCCAATGTCTACTTGAACATTGTTGAAAACATCTTGCTGGACGACCGCACTTCCTCGGCCAGTGTTGGCTGTGGAACACATTTTGTGAGCACCACGGCAGAAGTTGTGCACTTTTTTATTAAGTGCCGTCTGCACTTTTTTATGCGCGAACAAAACAAACTGTTTCGTGCTGGTGGTCGCCCATCCTGTCCGGCCAGAGGAGGGAGAAAACCAGGGGCATAATTTTTTTTTTCAGTGATCTTTTTTGTGTCATTAACTCTATCTCTCAGCTTTTCATTCACAGTTTCATCCACGCAGATTTAAATAAACTCTATGTACCTGTGCTCATGGCAGTTTGGAATTCTTGACAATTGCCAGTAATTGCAGCAAAAAAATATGCCGAGAATTTCGCCCACATTTCCTTGCAAGGCGCAGTGTTGTTGCAAAGTTCAAAATGCTACCCACTGCTAGGTAAGTGGCACACAAATTTATCTCCGTTAGGCAGAAATATTTCGTACATAAAAAGCTGAAAAAAATTGAAAGAGATATCTAAATAGACAAAGAAAAGAAAGTGTTCGGTTTAAGCCCGAAAGCGACAATACAGAAATCGAGAAACGTAAAAAATGTCACGAACACATCCGTCACTTGACAGATACTCTCAGTCAAAACATTGCCAGCAATCAATGACTTGGGCAATTTGACAACGCGCATCATGAACAATATTGACAATACTAATCACTGCTATGATTTTTTAGCGAGAACACGGAGAAGGAAAATATCTGAAGAAGTGTATTTGACGGCAAACGCTTCTGCGAACGCGCACCTGCCCTACCAAACGCGGCAGATCAATGTCCTGTATACGGTGGCGCCTCTGCTGGCCACTTTTTTCCCTATATGAAACTTTCGCGGGAGTTTCATGACCAGTGAAAAGTATTGAGGGACCATGGCCCCTACCATGGCCAAACCACCGACCTAAAGAGTCCGAAGGGATATATTGTAACAGAATAAAAAGTTAGCGAGTTGGTGTATATTCATATTAAAAGAAAAGTGGCGCACAAAAAGACAGAGACAAAGAAGAGAACCACACGCAGTGCTGCACTCACAACTGAAAGTTTAATCCGAGCAACAAGAATTTAAAAAGTAATAGCCGCGCATGACAAGTGAGGTACAACGAGATTAAATGATGCGCTCATCAATAAAAGTGAAGCCTATCATATTAACAAGTCACGTGATGCTTGCGTAAGCCAGACCTCGGTTACATTGCATAAAAAAGAGTTCACTTTTATTGATGAGCGCATCATTTAATCTCGTTGTACCTCACTTGTCATGCGCGGCTATTTTAAATTCTTATTGCTCGGATTAAACTTTCAGTTGTGAGTGCAGCGCTGTGTGTGGTTCTCTTCTTTGTCTCTGTCTTTTTGTGCGCCGCTTTTCTTTTAATATGAGTCCGAAAGGACCAGCTACTACAGGAACGGACTCGGACAGGAACGCCAAGAACAACCGCCACGTCACGTTGCCCAAGGAGGTACAACAGCAACAACAACACGAGCGCAATCGCATTCATCGTCTTCATCGTCTATCTGCTGCTCTCTCGTTGCCGATGTCGTGTAACACTATGTACGGCTGACACAGAAGCCTAACTAAAGCCTCAGCCGCACGCAGTCGTACCGTGCACGATTAACGTCCCCTATCCGTAGCTATTCTCATTGCAGCTGCACGGGTTCGGGCGAATAAGGCAACAGGCTAGGTCAACAACAACACTTTATTGCTAGGCGTTAGCAAAAGTGCGCAAAATGTCGCGAGGAGAAAGTGCAGAAAACAAGGGTAGATGCTTACTCCTCGGTCGTTGACGTCCTAGGCTTGCAGATGGGTTGCGGGTCAGACTTTCTTGGTTCCTGGCCGGTGTCAGAGAGGTTGGTTGGTTAGTGGTTCGTGAGGAAAGGAAGGAGGCGCCTAATTTCTGTCTGCCTACGGGCGACACGGCGCGGTGCCTGTCAGAGAGACCGTGCGGCCGTCCCCACGCCAGTTTTGTCACTCTTTCGGTTTCCCTCTTCCTGACGAGAATACTACCTTTTCTTGCTGAGGGGAGGGAAACCCGTTCCACGTGCCGGGAAAGGGTTTCCGTACCGTGCCCCCAACACGGCTTTCGCGCTGCCGTAAAAAGGAGAAAGGGAGGCTGGGCGCGCGTGCTCCCGCACATCCCCCCCCCCCCCCCCCTTAAGAAGGCCCCCGAATGACAAACTGCAACATGAGAGTATTTTGTTATTCGTCATCGAGGAACGCTAGCACGGTGGGTCCCAATCCGTGCCATCCTGCAAATTGGCCCTCTGCCGTAGGTGCAGCCGGCGCCCCCACTTGTCACCGCAGCATCCAAAGTAGCCACCACCACTGCTGCCGTGCCCGCTTGCGTCATGGCCAGTCATTGCCACCGCTGTCACCTCCGCCGTTACTACACTGTACCGTTACTGCCACTGCTGTCGCCTCCACCGCCGTTACTGCCGCCCTGGAACCGGTGCCGGTATCACTCTGGTCCGGACCACGCCCCGTTGACCCCCGCCACTCAGGTAGTTGATGACGACAGAGAGTTGCCTGTCGGTGACGGTCCCGTTCAGCACTGGCTCAGGCCGCCCTCTCCAGCATGGTCTGGGCTGCCGCGTCGGGTCACAGCTCCACTAATCTGGCGGGCTCGAGAGTCATCTTCAGCGTGCCTCGCCATGGCGTCGAGGTAGCAGAGGCCAAAGGTGCCGGAAAACCGTGGGTCAGCTAGGTATACGCTTGTGAAAGCGGCTTTGAGGCGGCTGGCTCTCTTGTTTAGGCTGGCGGCTGGTCACCTTGGCGCCTCTTGCGTAAGGCGATGGGGTAGGTTTGGAAGTGGTGTTGCTTGGTTGGGTGAGGCCGCGATCACGACATGGATGATGTTGGGGGGTGATCCGGTGAGAGGAGCGGTTTCCTCTCCGAGCTGTTCCGTTGGCACCTTTTTCCCTTTCGACTCTTCATCTGCTCGGTGAAAGTCGACACAGAAAAAAAGAACGGGTTAACAATCGCACATGTGTTGCGCGCGAACCCTTCCACCCCGCGTCGAACTTATCAAACACGGCCTACCGTGCATAGTTGTCTCCCCCTGTTACCCAAGAAGTAACGCGATTCTGGGCTACTCACTGGGTGTCGAGTGATATCACCCGCCGCGCACGGCTTGGAGGGGGACTGGCCCTAGTCCTCATGCTCCTCCCGTGTCACGTAGCGTTTCATGTCACGTACGTGCACTGGTCCGCCGCTCGATTTACCTTCCATGTTCGCGATTCGATAAACGAGCGAAGAAACTTTCTCTCGCACTCGGTACGGCCCGGACCATTTCGGTGCCAGCGAGGCAGCAAACTGTTTACTAGCATCGCTGAGAACATGATGGCGCCGCAGCACCAGATCGCCTACCTCGTAGCGTACATTCCGATGCATGCGGTCGTACTGCGCCTTTTGCTGCGCCCTAGCAGTGCTGAGATTATTCCGCGCTTTATGTAAAGCTTCCGCTAGCTTCTCGCGCAGCTGCGTAGCGTATTCAGCGCGTGCTGATGTCCCCACTGGCACTCCACTGCGATCCGCAAGTACGGTCTCCATCGGATTCGGCAGTTCTCTTTCCATGTTCAGAGACAAAGGCGCAAACCTATAGTCGATCGGTTCACGGTTGAGCGCAATGCAAAACCGATCTCTGGGAAGTAGCTATCCCAGTCCCTATGTCTCTCAGAGAATAACGCAACAAGCATGTGCTTGATGTTGCGATTAACTCGCTCCGTGGGGTTCGACTGAGCGTGGTAGGTGGTGGTTTTCTTGTGCTTAATGCCTAACGTGGCGCACGCGTCAACAAACACCTTCGCTGTGAAATAAGATGCGCTGTCTGTAATCAGCTGCTCAGGGAACCCGAAGCTGGTGAAAACCTCCATCAGCTTCTGTAAGATCACTCGGGCCGTCAACTTCCTAAGGTAGAAAAGTTCCACCCATTTAGTGAAGTGATAACCAGCAAGAACTTGTTTCTGCTAGGAATTGTGGGGTGTGGGCCCATTACGTCACATGCCGCGATTTGCCAGGGAGTCTGACGGTAAATCGGCTGCATGAGGTCGGGCGGACGTCGGCCTCATGGCTTGACGCTTTGGCACACACGACATGAACGGGCATAGCGAATCACATCCCGCTTCATGCTTGGCCAGGTAGCGAGACGACACAACTTAATTAGCGTAAGTCTTGGGGCCGCTCACATGCCCGGCAATGCACGAGTCATGAAAGTAGCGAAGAAGTGCTCCTCTCAACGTGCGCGGTATCACGACTTTGAATGACTCACTTGTGTCATCGTTGGATGGGATGATACCTCAGCAGGACGCCGTCAGAATCAAGCAGGTATGAATCCAGCGCGCCCACAGCACTACCAGCTGTTGCCCCGCCACGGTGGTCCAGTGGCTAAGGTACTCGGCTGCTGACCCGCAGGTCGCGGGATCGACTCCCAGCTGCGGCGGCTGCATTTCCGATGGAGGCAGAAACGTTGTAGGCCCGTGTGCTCAGATTTGGGTGCACGTTAAAGAACCCCAGGTGGTCGAAATTCCCGGAGCCCTCCACTACGGCGTCTCTCATAACCATATGGTGGTTTTGGGACGTTAAACCCCACATATCAATCAATCACTACCAGCTGTTGCCGAGCGCTGCGCGCCGACAGCAATGCCAGTTGCTCCCTTGTGCGCGGTGGCCTCACTACCACCCGGCTCCCGGAGCCCGTCGAACACCTTTCGACAAAATGGATCTTTCTGCTGAGCTTCTAACAGTTCCCTTCTGCCGAAAACAATCCCTGCGCTAACGACAGCTTCTACGTGGTTCACGCTCTTACCTCGAACTAACGTTTGCTCCGCTGTTTGCGTTAGCACGAGTGTCTCGCTCTCAGTTCGTTCCGAATTAGTCGCGTGGCTTGCCGCGTGCCGGACTGGAGCACGCGATCGTGCGTCGGCCGCGGCATTGTTCTTACCCTTGCGGTAGCGAACGATGAAGTCGTAACTTAGAAGTGTGGCAGCTTGGTGTCTTTCGTGTCCTTCTTGTCTCTGTGTCGTCGTTTTGTTCTCGCGCTATAACTATATATATCGTCAAGTCGTAACGCTACAGCAGCAATGCCCAACGCGCCAGGCAGCCACTCGGTTCGTTCAAGCGCCTCAACCACGTGAGCGACATGTGGTCAGTCTCAATCACGAACCCAACTCCGTCGATGACGGAGAGCAAAGACTATCGCCAGACACTCTTTCTCGGGTACCGAGTAGTTCCTCTCCGCCGGAGTCAACGTACGGCTCGCGAACGCAATCGGTCGGAG